CAATTTTTTTTTTAATTTGAAGTTTAATTTAATGTAAATTTTAATTTTAAAACATATATACATAATTACATCATATGATAAAAATTAAATTATATTGTGATCGTGTTAAAAAAAGAATAACATATGCACTAATTGAAACTATAATACACTAAGATATAATATTTACACGATTAAAATACTATAATCTATCGGAGATGATTTTAGTGGTTCGCAAACAACAAATGGTCCAAAAGAGAAACTTTATTGTACCAACTGATTCCACGGTCCTTACCGTGGAATATCAGCAACAAAAATGAAGTGTGCTGGCAACTATATATGGTCATTTTAACATCATTCAAAATTTCTTTCACTATGTTCTTTTAGTTCCCAAAGCGAAAGTGAAAGAAGCAAAACCAGAAACGTTTAATTCCTTGCTTCTATTTCCTTAATCTGAAGATAATTAAGTTAAAACACCGACACAGAATTAAAACGAAAGAGAACAACATGAGCCAAGTTTCTAATTATGCTACCTAATAAAAACACTCAGAGAAGTTATGAACAATAATCAAGGCAATTCTCCAACAAAAGTAAAGATTTCACATATGTATGAATAAAGCATGTTCTATATGGGATGTCTTTTCTTTAGACCCAAGTATCATGAAACTCTAAGGGTGTGATAACCCTGTTCCGTATTATGCTAATTGGTCCTTATTATGATTGTGATTATGTGTTTGATATGACTTTGTGTGCCATTTATGTGAAAATATGTGGTTTTGAATTTCTATCTGTTCCCCGTAGAAATATCTGTTTGATTATCTGCTTTGGAATTTAAATTGAAGGCCTTATCGGCCACAAAACCCGAAATTGACTATGCCATTGTGATTGGCGTAATTTTTAGAGCCTACGATGAAATTTAATTGAAAATTGATTTGGATCAGATTAATTAGATTAAATTATGAATTAGTGCCCAATTAATTAATATTAAAATAGTGTATGTGAGAGAGAGCTTATTTAAGGGCCCTATTACACTTTTGATCACTTTGTTTTGAACTCAAATCTAAATTACACATTTGTGAGAGTGAGGGGCCGGCTCTAGAGAGGGAGAAAGAAGGAGAATTGTGTGTTTGGCTCAAGTTTGAGAAATTGGGAGGTTGAACTCAAGATTCAACTAGAATTTGTGAAGATTAAAGCCTCTAGGTAAGTAGATTCATGGATTTTAAATTGTAATTTTGTGAATCCAAGGTTGAATATTGATCAAGAACATGAATTAAATTGATTATGATAGAATTGAGTTGGTTTTGGTGAATTGAAGGTCAATGGATGCATGCATGTAGGAAATTGTCATGAATTTGTATGTTTGAGCTTGAAATACATGATCCATATTAAATCTTTGATTGAAGTTCATGTTTTTAACCATCTCTTCATCATCTAAGTTGAGAATGAGGGTTATATCTCACATGCATGAACAATTCATGAGAATGTGAGTTTGAAATACATGGAATTGTTATGATGAAAGCAAGTTTGGTATAATTTGGAACATGCATGTAAGTAATTCATGGAATTGAGCTTCATAATGTTGTAATTTGGTGTTTGTACCATGTTAGTACATGTATATGTGAACTTGGAGCCATAATATGCAAGATATGTTGATTTGAATGTTGAATTCGAGCTCAAGAACAATTCTGGATTTTCCAAAATTTGGGATGTCCGCTCGAGCGGGGAAGGCGCCGCTCGAGCGGGAAATTTGGGCGCCCAGTATTTTTGCAAACATGGATGTCCGCTCGAGCGGGGAGCTATGTAGAATGACCTCCAGCTCAAGCGTCCGAGTTCACGCTCGAGCGTAAAAACGAAGCAACCAGTACTTTTGCAGACCTAATGGGTCCGCTCGAGCGGGAAAATCCACGCTCAAGCGGGGGACCCCTGTTTCTGAAATTTTGTAAGCATGTTCTGTGTTTCGTTTTCCGTTCTCTTTCACTTCTAAGTACTCTTAGGCATGCATTGAGCATTATGAATGAATTAAATGAATAAGAAAGAAGCCTAAAGAGGAATATGTGAATTAAGGAACGGATTGAATCGTTTATGACCCATGTGTGTTATGTAATATGTAGGGTCAAGCTCCAGGGCAAATCATCCAGCCGATCACTGTGAGTAATATCTTAATAAAGATATTTGAGATATGTTGTTTGTCCAACTGCTTATTTCTCTATAAGTCTTATGAGTTTGTTGAGTTGAATTGTGGACAAATGTTTGCTATGCCATATGGTTAGGCCTAAGGCCGTTTGCTATAAATGAATGGGCCAAAGGCCAGTTTGATGAGTGGGCCAAAGGCCAGTTTGACATGAATGATAGAATGAATGGGCCAAAGGCCAATTTGACATGAATGAAAGAATGGATGGGCAAAAGGCCAGTTTGATCTAAATGAAAGAATGGATGGGCCAAAGGCCAGTTTGATCTGAACAAAAGGATAAATGGGCCAAAGGCCAGTATGACACGAACAAATTGGGCCCGAGGCCATATGATGTGTTCGGAACCGCAGTCACTTGACCTAAATATGTATATATATGCTAATAGAAATACGAATTGGGTCCAAGGCCGTTTGAAGCATGTTGTTCTACATACCGTCTATATAACTTCTTTATCTGATATTATTCACTGGGCTTTCGCTCACACTCATTCATGTGTTTGTAGGTAAGCCAAGAGCGGTCCAAACTCAGCCTCAGTGAAGTCTGTGTGGAACAATCAAGGTTTTGAAGAGTCAGTCCTTACGTCTCACGCACAAGACCCGTCTTTGCCCTTTTGCTATCGTGTTTTATTTTATCCTATCGGCGAGGACCTTGAATATGTTTGTATATAGTTTTGATTGGCTGACTTAGACTTGAATGATCCTGTATGTACAGAACCTTGTGTTAGTACATATTTTGATGTGAGTTATTAACATGTATATGTATGGTTTGTTATGACGTGCCATGTAAGCACAGCTCTATGGATAAAGTTTTAAATTTTTGCTTCCGTTTGGCCCCTTTACTCTGATGAGTTATGTCCGGCTTGATTTGAGGCCATAGGTAATCTCAGGATTACTGGCCGGTTATGTCCTTAACCCATAGGGGCGGGTTCGGGTCATGACAAAGGGCATGTTTGGTAATCTTTAGGTTTTTTTTTTTTTAAAGTAAGAAATTGAGATAGTTTTCTTTCCTTTAAAAAATGGTTATAATAGTTTTTGGAATTAGCACCTATCATAAAAATGGTTCTCTTTCATGAGAGATTCATTTTAGTTAGCTAGGATTTTTCAAAAGGATTTGATGAAAAAAAATAATTAAGGATTGGAATGCTACATATCATATCAAACTTTAAACCAAATTTACTCTCAGATTTTATGGAGAGAGAAAGAAAGAGTAAGGTAAGTCTTATCCTTCAAGGCTTCAGCATGTCCTTCAGAGCCCTGCACAGAGCAAAGGTTGATATAAGAACTTGTTTGTAACAATTATGCTAACTCCCAATCAACAGGAATTAAATAACAATTTTGACTAAACAATCAAACAAGAGCAATCAAGAGACGGTATTTTTTTATTCAAATGCCTTGAAAGTACAAGGACTTCTTTAGAATAAAAGTTACAATCAATAAGATCAAACAAAGTGAACAAAGCAAACTAAAAATGATTTCAAGATGAAACCACTATGTTTATAAAGATTACAAATTACAGAGAGAAACTACTCCTAAACTAAAACAGCTACTCCTAGATTATGCTAAGTCTAAAAGCTAAGTTGTTGTATTATTGTTGATGTCCATTCCCCTTTGGCAACTTCTACTTTTATACCTCTCCATTTTTCTCTAGCCCATGATTGCATGATTCCCCTAAATCCTGTAACTGCTCTCTCACCAATTCTTCATTTCTATTTGTCGAACCACCTATTCTTCATGTTACCATGTGTCCCTCAGTACTTTGGGCCTTCCATTAACAGAGAAAAACTTCCATTTTGCACATGACTTTTCTTGCAAGTTGCCTACTAAGCCCATGACTTAGCTTGATAACTACTCCATCATCTAGACCTAACTTGATAACTGCTCCATCATCTAAACCATCCAATGCATGTGATCAACTCTCTAATGCCACATGCCCCTTGACTAATAAAAGACTTCATTTTGACTTCAATGCCACATGTCATCATTCAATTAATCCACTTGTCGATAGGAATTTTATGAAAATGGGTGCAAACAATACCCCCCCAACTCTTTAAGAATGAGAAGGCTCGAATTTTTGAAGTGTTGTATATAAAATTGATTTGTCAAAAAACTATCACCAAAACAAATCTTTTTTACTAACTAACAAAAAATGATTATTATAAGCACATGTTAATAAGATAGCCACCAAAGGCCATAATAAATATGTTGTGCATCCTTCACAAATGTAGTCCAATGTAAGCCATATATGAGTTTTTAAATTGGTAATAGATTACTTCAATCGACAGTGTATGTACACAATCGACAGAGCAATGCATGAACCAAGTGTTTTAAACCATAGAAATACTTCAACAAGAATTGGCCTATTAGTTGGAGCACAATAACCTTCCAATGTCTACAGACACTCTAAACCATAAAGCAAATATTTGGGACATCAAATTGTTTTAGTTATTGGTACTTCGAAATTAGCTAATCAAGAAATCACAATTGGTAATACATTTCTATAACTTTCTGAACTTTGTTCTCTTATTAGCCATTTCATAAAGAACAAACTTTGATGTAAGCACGTCACGTCTTGAACAATGTCAAAGATTTCAAACTCATGAACATTTGATTGTTCATAATTTTTACCCATAGTTGGCTTAAGATCACACTTTTTAACCAAATTGTTTGTATTACTCTTTGGACTAAGAGTTGCAACAAATGGCTGATTTTTTGTTTCACACATTAATGGGTTAGAAATATTTTTTTGAAAACCCATAAAATATTTTCTCATTGTGAAATTGCTGCATGCCCTATTGCCACGGAATTTTGATTCTTATGGCCTTTTATTTTTACAACCATGACAATTGATGGAGTAACAACACCAACATTTGAAGGTATCTTGTAGACCTCCACCCTTGTTTGACACTGCCCTCTAGAAAAATCATCAATAACACTTCTTAACTCACAAACCAGCACCTGTTTTTCCTTAACTGAAAGAGATGCAAAAGCCTTATTCAATTGTGAAACCAAAATGCTAATAAGCAATACAGAAGGGTCACTCATTTGGCTTTGACACCTCATTTTTTCCATTGTTCCAAATTAGGATGTTGTCCCATTGGGTGTGCCAAAAATTGTTAGTAAAAATTATACTAACTCCCAATCGACAGGAATTAAACAACAATTTTGACTAAACAATCAAGCAAGAGCAATCAAGCGACTGTGTTTTTTATTCAAATGTCTTGAAAGTACGAGGACTTCTTTAGAACAAAAGTTACAATCAGTAAGATCAAACAAAGTAAACAAAACAAACTAAAGATGATTTCAAGATGAAACCACCAATGTTTACAAAGATTACAAATTACAGAGAAAAACTACTCCTAAACTAAGAAAGCTACTCCTGGATTATGCTAAGGCTAAAAGCTAAGTTGTTGCATTGTTGTTGATGTCCATTCCCCTTTGGCAACTTCTGCTTTTATACCTCCCCATTTTTCTCTGGCCCATGATTGCATGATTCCCCTAAATCCTACAATTGTTTTCTCACCAATTCTTCATTTCTATTTGTCGAACCACCTCTCCTTTATGTTGCCACGTCTTCCTCAGTACTTTGGACCTTCCATCAACAGAGAAAAACTTCCATTCTACACATGACTCTTCTTGCAAGTTGCCTACTAAGCCCATGACTTAACCTGATAACTGCTCTATCATCTAGACCTAGCCTGATAATTACTCCATCATTTGAACCATCCAATGCATGTGATCAACCTCTCTAATGCCACCTACCCCTTGACTATTGAAAGACTTCATTTTGACTTCACTGTCACGTGTCATCATCCGATTAATCCACATGTCGATAGGAATTTTATGAAAATGGGTGCACACAGACCTTGAAGAAACTTTCAAGGTAAATTCTACTTTTGCACTTTTATACTTTATATTGGGAGTCGCTATTCATAACCCCCTATTCTCATCTCATTTCTAATTTTTTTGTCTTTTATATTATACATAGTTATATTAATACCTTTCACACAAAATACATTCTTTGAAAAAACCAATATTCCAAGGGTATTAATGTATTTTGAGCAACAAAGATAATGTATTTGCAGTAACATAGAGTAGAAATAGTGGCTCCCTTTATATTTAGTGTTAAAACAAATTACATTGACTAGTAGATAATTACACTACTAGGAGCATCTCCAATCTTTCACCTTTTCTTTTTCATAAACAAGTGCTCAAAAATCATCATCAATCCTTTCCTCAAATGTTCATCAAATTAAATTTTGATGAAAAAATGCTCAAAAAAATTTAGTGAAGAGTTAGAGATGCTCTAAGTTACCCTTGTAAGAATTTTTACAATATATGGCTTAATGTGGCTTATGCATGATTATACTAGATTCATCTCATTAAGTAAGATACATGTACATCAATTAGATGGTGACTAATTATTGATGAATGCACCTATATATACAATGTATAGAAGACTAATGCTAATGCACATTGAATGCGATGGATTCATTGTGAATGAATCTTAGAGATACACATTCAATGTGATGGATTTATTATAAATGAATCTTAGAGATGCATTATGTATCTATTATGAATATGCAAGATATATTAATCTTATCTAATGAATTCATTAATATAGAGGATGCATTATGTATCATGAATGTATAAGATACATTAATCTATTTAATGAAGTTCATTGAATGAATGGTTCTTTGATGGGAAGAATATTAGTATAAATAGTGTAAGGTCCCAAACCATACTCTCAGTCAAAAACTTAAGTTGTCACCACAAGAAGGCTCCCATCGCCTAGAGAGAGAGAAGTGGTTTGAAGATCTTAGACAAGTCAAGAACTTAAAGATCAAGGTTTTCCATTCAAGATTTCTCTTTCTTGCAAGAGGATTTCATACTATCATTGATCAAGGTATGTATTTACTTAAGTTGTATTGTAGAAATTCATATAGTTTTCATGTATAGAATTGAATCCTTAATGGTTTTTAGTTTGTGTTCCGCAAAGTTTTCTATCAATTGGTATCAGAGCCATGGTTCTCAAGCCATGGTTCTCAATTCTGATGCATGAAACGTGTAAGTATGAATTTCATTTTATGATGATTGGTGTAACAAGTGCAAAACCTTGATTTACACTTGTCCAATTTTATTTTATTTTTGGCCAATCTTTTATTCTATTGATATTAAAATAAAAATTGAAAATTATTGAACAAGTGATAATTAAGATAATGTTTTATGCACTTATAATGTTTTGTTACACACCTTATAAGTTGAAACATTGTTGATCAGCCCAACGGAGGTTCAACACTATGTATGTTTGAACAATCGAGATGATTAGTATAATAAATAAAGCAATAAGTTTTTCTGCCCAACGGTGATAAACTTCTCACGTGCTTTAGTTAATAAAATAAAATAAGAGACATTGAATTTTTCTGCCCAACGGTGATAAACTCGTTACGATCTTAATGATTGTTTTATTTTATTTTATGTTGTTTATTTTTATTAGTCATCTCGTTTACTTTTATGAATTGTTAAAATATATTGTTATTCGGCCCAACAGAAGGATAACTTGTTTTCGTATCTAACTAATTATGTTTTATGGTTAGATATATTTAACTTGTGGTGTTATTTTTATGAGATGTGAAAAGTAGTTTTCTTGATTATATTATGTAATGGATATTATGTGTTTGCAGCATTGAATCCTACTTCCATTAATAGTTACTTGTCTGGTATTAAAGCTTTGAGTGGAACTAATTTTAAGAAATGGAAAGAACAAATTGGAATTATTTTGGGAATTATGGATTTGGACTATGCATTAAGAGAGCCAGCTCCTACAAAGCCTAATGATACAAGTTCTAAGGAACACATGGCTTTATATGAAAAATGGGAACGCTCTAATCGCTTAAGTCTAATGATAATGAAAGGCTCAATTACGCCTGCAATTCAAGGAGCAATTCCTGTTTCTGAAAGTGCAGTGAGCTATATGAAATCTATTGAAGAACAATTCATTGGAACTTCCAAATCCCTTGCTAGTACTCTCATGATTAAAATGATGACAATGAAATATGATGGTTTGAGTGGTGTTCGTGAACATATCTTAAAGATGAATGACATGGCCTCTCAATTAAAGGAAATGGACATGGAAATTTCTGAAGGTTTTCATTATGTCTTCTTTTCCTGCGCAATTTGGTCCTTTTAAGATCAATTATAATACGCAGAAAGATAAGTGGAAGATGAGCGAGTTAATTGCCATGTGTGTTCAAGAAGAAGAGAAGCTTAAAGCTGAAAAGCCTGATATGGCTCACCTTACCATTTTGGGTCCAACCAAAAAAATTTTCAAGAAAGGCAAAAGTAAGAAGAAGAAGAATGCAAATGATGAAACTCACAAGGCTAATGAACAAAATAAGATTCGATGCCATTTCTGTCGAAAGAAAGGTCACATAAGAAAGGATTGTCCAGGTTTTAAAAGTTGGTTGGACAAGAAAGGTAACACTCAATGCTTTGTATCTTATGAATCCCTTTTGGTAGATGTTCCACCAAATTCTTGGTGGATTGACACTGGTACAAGTATTCACATAACAAATTCCTTGTAGGGTTACCTTACAAGTCGGAAACTAAATAAAGGAGAACGAACCATTACGGTTGGGAATGGAATAGAAGTGGACGCTGAGGCTATTGGCACCCTCCGTCTAATTTTAGACTCTGGTTTCATTTTAGATTTAGTAAACACAGTTTATGTTCCTGTTTTTACTAGAAACCTAATTTCTGTTTCACAACTTGATTCCTATCGTTATGAATTTAAGTTTGGAAATAATAGAGTCTCTTTATTTCACAATTCTCACATGATTGGTTCTGGTACTTTATATGGTAATCTTTATTCATTGAATTTAGATTCCACTTATGCGCAATCTCTTTTATCCTTTAATGTAAACGACTTGGTAAATAAAAAGAGAAAGTGAGTGAATGAAAATTCATCCATGTTGTGGCATAAGCACTTGGGCCACATATGAAGAGAAATGATGGAACGTCTTATTAAAGATGGAATTTTAAGTTCACTTGATTTTTCTGATTTTAGTACTTATGTGAATTGCATTAAAGGAAAATACACAAAGACAAAGAAAAATGGTGCTACTAGGACTACTGAATTATTAGACACAATTCATACTGATATATGTAGTCCCTTTACTGTTCCAACTATTTCTGGACATAAATATTTTATTACTTTTATTGATGACTTTTCTAGGTATACTTAAGTGTATCTTATTCGTGAAAAATCAGAAACACTGAATATGCTCAAACTTTATAAAGCTGAAGTTGAAAATCAACTTGGCAGACGAATTAAAAGTGTAAGATCTGATAAAGGCGGTGAATATTATGGTAGATTCACTGAGTCGGGTCAAAATCCAAGTGCTTTTGCTTTATTTTTGGCTGACAATGGTATTGTTGCTAACTACACAATGCCTGGTACACCTGAGCAAAATGGTGTAGCTGAGCGACGAAACCGTACTCTTTTGGACATGATGAGAAGCATGATGAGTAACTCTTCTTTGCCAGATTACTTGTGGGGTGAAGCTTTAAAAACTGCTGTACATGTTCTTAATAGGGTTCCTAGTAAGGTTGTGCCTGTAACTCCTTATGAGTTGTGGGTTGGTAGGAAACCTAATTTGAATTATTTACATGTACGGGTTGTCCTATTGAAGTAAAAATTTTCAATTGTATCTAACTAATTATGTTTTATAGTTAGATATATTTAACTTGTGGTGTTATTTTTATGAGATGTGAAAAATAGTTTTCTTGATTATATTATGTAATGGTTATTATGTGTTTGCAGCATTGAATCCTACTTCCATTAATAGTTACTTGTCTGGTATTGAAGCTTTGAGTGGAACTAATTTTAAGAAATGGAAGGAACAAATTGGAATTGTTTTGGGAATTATGGATTTAGACTATGCATTAAGAGAGCCAGCTCCTACAAAGCCTAATGATACAAGTTCTAAGGAACACATGGCTTTATATGAAAAATGGGAACGCTCTAATCGCTTAAGTCTAATGATAATGAAAGGCTCAATTACGCCTGCAATTCAAGGAGCAATTCCTGTTTCTGAAAGTGCAGTGAGCTATATGAAATCTATTGAAGAACAATTCATTGGAACTTCCAAATCCCTTGCTAGTACTCTCATGATTAAAATGATGACAATGAAATATGATGGTTTGAGTGGTGTTCGTGAACATATCTTAAAGATGAATGACATGGCCTCTCAATTAAAGGGAATGGACATGGAAATTTCTGAAGGTTTTCTTGTTCATTTCATTATGACTTCTCTTCCTGCGCAATTTGGTCCTTTTAAGATCAATTATAATACGCAGAAAGATAAGTGGAAGATGAGCGAGTTAATTGCCATGTGTGTTCAAGAAGAAGAGGAGCTTAAAGCTGAAAAGCCTGATATGGCTCACCTTACCATTTTGGGTCCAACCAAAAAGATTTTCAAGAAAGGCAAAAGTAAGAAGAAGAAGAATGCAAATGATGAAACTCACAAGGCTAATGAAGAAAATAAGATTCGATGTCATTTCTGTCGAAAGAAAGGTCACATAAGAAAGGATTGTCCAGGTTTTAAAAATTGGTTGGACAAGAAAGGTAACACTCAATGCTTTGTGTCTTATGAATCCCTTTTGGTAGATGTTCCACCAAATTCTTGGTGGATTGGCACTGGTACAAGTATTCACATAACAAATTCCTTGCAGGGTTACCTTACAAGTCGGAAACTAAATAAAGGAGAACGAACCATTACGGTTGGGAATGGAATAGAAGTGGACGCTGAGGCTATTGGCACCCTCCGTCTAATTTTAGACTCTGGTTTCATTTTAGATTTAGTAAACACAGTTTATGTTCCTGTTTTTACTAAAAACCTAATTTCTGTTTCACAATTTGATTCCTATGGTTATGAATTTAAGTTTGGAAATAATAGAGTCTCTTTATTTCACAATTCTCACATGATTGGTTCTGGTACTTTATATGGTAATCTTTATTCATTGAATTTAGATTCCACTTATGCGCAATCTCTTTTATCCTTTAATGTAAACGACTTGGTAAATAAAAAGAGAAAGTGAGTGAATGAAAATTCATCCATGTTGTGGCATAAGCGCTTGGGCCACATATCAAGAGAAAGGATGGAACGTCTTATTAAAGATCGAATTTTAAGTTCACTTGATTTTTCTGATTTTAGTACTTGTGGGAATTGCATTAAAGGAAAATACACAAAGACAAAGAAAAATGGTGCTACTAGGACTACTAAATTATTAGCCACAATTCATATTGATATATGTAGTCTTTTTACTGTTCCAACTATTTCTGGACATAAATATTTTATTACTTTTATTGATGACTTTTCTAGGTATACTTATGTGTATCTTATTCTTGAAAAATCAGAAGCACTGGATATGTTCAAACTCTATAAAGCTGAAGTTGAAAATCAACTTGGCAGACGAATTAAAAGTGTAAGATCTGATAGAGGTGGTGAATATTATGGTAGATTCACTGAGTCGGGTCAAAATCCAAGTGCTTTTGCTTTATTTTTGGCTGAGAATGGTATTGTTCTTTTGGACATGATGAGAAGCATGATGAGTAACTCTTCTTTGCCAGATTACTTGTGGGGTGAAGCTTTAAAAACTGCTGTATATGTTCTTAATAGGGTTCCTAGTAAGGCTGTGCCTGTAACTCCTTATGAGTTGTGGGTTGGTAGGAAACCTAATTTGAATTATTTACATGTATGGCCTGGACTTGATTCTCAAATCTGAGAATGTCCATAGATTCTCGCAAAGCACCAGCTATTTCATGGGCCAAAGTGCCTGAGAGATCAAAGGGTTTTAGATTCTATTGTCCCACTCATAGCACTAGAATTGTTGAAACTAGAAATGTCGTGTTCTTAGAGGATGAAAACATTAGTGGGAGTATGAATCTCAAAAATGTTTCTTTGGAGGAAAATCGTGTTTTTACGCCTTCCACGATTATCCAAGAAAATAATGAAGTGCCTGAACATATTATTGAACCTATTGGTACACAAGAGATTTCTCACATTGAAAAAGAAGTTGTCCCAGTTGCAGAACAACCTTTACGCAGATCACAAAGAGAAAACAAACCAGCCATATCAGATGACTATGAGGTTTACCTAAATGAGTGTGATATAGGCTTGGAGAACGATCCTGTTTCTTATGCCCAAGCCATGAAAAGTGGAAATGCAACTCAATGGTTAAATGCCATGAAGGATGAGTTAAAATTCATGAAAGACAACAATGTATGGGATCTTGTAGAATTGCCTAAGGGAGCCAAAGCTATTGGATGCAAATGTGTTTTTAAAACCAAGCGTGATCCTAAAGGCAATGTCGAACGATACAAGGCCAGATTAGTTGCTAAAGGATACACTCAAAAAGAAAGGATAGACTATAAGGAAACTTATTCTCCTGTTTCTAATAAAGATTCCTTGAGAATAGGCATGGCCTTAGTAGCTTATTATGATTTAGAGTTACATCAAATGGACGTTAAAACAGCCTTTTTGAATGGTGACTTGCATGAAGTGGTCTACATGGACCAACCTGAAGGTTTTCAGGATGAAAGCAAGGAAAATATGGTTTGTAGGCTTAAGAAGTCCATATATGGTCTAAAGCAGGCATCTCGACAATGGTATCTTAAATTTCATGAAGTTCTTACCAAATTTGATTTTAAGGATAATGTGGTTGATCAATGTGTCTACCTTAAAATCAGTGGGAGCAATATCTGCATTATAGTTTTGTATGTTGATGATACATTGCTTGCTAGCAATACTTTGGGAATGATACATGAGACAAAGAAATTTCTTACGATAAATTTTGAAATCAAAGATCTTGGTGAAGCCTCTTTTGTCATTGGGATAGAAATTCACCAAGATAGGTCTCGTGGTATTTTAGGATTGTCCCAAAGAGCCTATATCAAAAAGGTTCTTAAAAGGTACAACATGCAGAACTGTTCAAGTAGTGTTGCCCCTATAGTTAAGGGTGATAAATTTAGTGAATTTCAGTGTCCCAAAAATAATTTAGAAAGGGAACAAATGAAAGAAATTCCTTATGCCTCTGCAGTTGGGAGCATTATGTATGCTCAAGTTTGTACACGTCCTGACATAGCATTTGTAGTTGGTATGCTGGGTCGATACCAAAGCAATCCCAGAC